AGTGTACAGCTGACCAAATTTTGCAGAGTTTCTTTGGTTTCAGTGGGGGGTGCTCCAGATCCTACTGAAGGGAAAGCTGGGCTAGGACTGGGAACACCTGAATTCCCACTGAGTTGCCAAAACAGCCCAGATAAGCTCTCCAAAGGGGCAGGCTTAGAAGCCAGCGTCTCAAATAACAATAAACAAGTCCTAGCACAAGGAAACTATGTCTTCATTGACAGGAATGGCTGAGCCTGCCTCTCCCTTCACAATCAACTGATTCACATCATCCTTATTTATGTATTCTGTGGTCCATAATTATGTAACATTCAAAATATTTACTTTCTTGGTATTTTCTCATCTAAACAAATCCTAAGTTCTGAGGCTCTGGCACTACGTTAATTCTCTGATACTGAACTGCATCAGATTATTGTTAAAAACAGATCTTAATACCCATGTAAAGTGCCTAGCACTGTGCCTGGCACACAGTGGGCAGGCGATGCATGGGAGCCAATGGCCACAAGGAGATGGTACACTTCTACTTTCTTACAGGAATCTGAAAGCAACAACAAACTGTAAAGTGTGTAATGTAATCAGGAATAGGTCTCCTACTTTGACATAAGATCCACACAAACTTTAACTGCATACATGCGTGTATGTGTATGTGTATGTATATACATGTGTATATTCTGTTAAACTGCACAACTGAGCAAAATGAAAGGGCTGAATTAGCATAAATCTCACAAATATTTAAAAATCAATCAACACCTAATAACTATTTGCAAAATACTACTGGGTATACAACTTCTTGATAGGGACAAGGTATTCAGTGTAAATTTTATTGTTCTGTGATTGTCAGAAGTCTCCTTATACTCATGGGAAAATAAAAACAGAAGGAAAAAAATAGGCTGAGTGACAATTAAAATATGAGAAATACATAGCTCAAGACCTGAAAACAGGAAAGGATGCTCACGGGGATGCCTCTAGGGTCAAGTTCAGACATACATCCTGTCATTGGAAACCTTGCCACTATTTAGACTCAAAGATTACTCAGCTTTCGGATCAGGTGATTTCCTGCCTCAGAGGAAACTTGCTTCTTCCATATTACAAGTCTGGACTATAAGAAAGCGGTAGCGACGGGATGTGGGGGCTGGGGAGGTCGGTGAGGAGTGACTGGTGGGGGAGAGTAGTGGCTCTCAACTACACAGTTCCTACGCTACCATTTTCCATGTGGAGATCTCCCATAAAATACCACTGTACACCATGGGTGGTTTTCCTCCCATTACCAAGGGCCCAAGTGTGAGGGTAAAATGGACCCTCCTTGTTTTTTTTTTAGCATGACCCAGCGATGGATGGAAGGGAAGCAGGGCCGATTTTCTGAACATCTATCATGTGCTGTATATCAAACCAGGCATCACTTAATCCTTAACATGCCTTCTGAGTAGGTATTACTGGCTTCACAAATACAGACAGAAAAAACGGAGACTCGGAAGTTTAATCAACTTGTTCCAAGTCAGCCAGCTGGTAAGCGGTGACCCTAGGATTCTAACTAATTCAGGCTTCTTTGACTCTAAAATCACAGCATTCCCTGTACCCCAAATGCCCTTCAAAACAGCTTCGCAGAAAAGGAAGTCAAGAGAAAGGAATTTTAAAGGGTGCAGGAGACCATTTAATCATCCAAAAGAAAAAACTGCTTAGACTAATAATCAAGATCATTTAATAACTCATTTAGTTAACCACTAATTCCTAAATTTATATTTATGTTTCAGTATTACTCACAGAAGTTCCTGACCTAGCACCACCCAGACAGTAACATGAGTTTCTTCAGAACTTAACACAGTTGTCCCTTACAATTTTACCTACATAATAATCATATTGATTAAAGCAGTGAGGATTAAAAAACAAACATGCAACAGTGAGGATAATTTCACCATTTTTTTAAAGTAAAAAATTTTACTGAAGTATAACATGCAAATACAAAAAGTGCACACAAATCATAAATGAAACAGCTCAGTGAATTTTCACTAAGTAAGCACAAACATGTAACACACATCAGGAAACAGAATGTTATTAGCACCCTAAAAGTCTCCCCTGTACCCCCTCAGTCACTTAATTTCCTTCTCTCCTGACTTCCATCATCATGGATTTGTTTTGCTTGTTTTTGAGCTATGTAATGTATTTGTGTGTGGGGGGGGCTTCTTTTGTTCATTATTTTTGTGATGACCATGAGTAGTTAGTGCATTTTAATTCCTGTATAGTATTCCAACACATGGCAACAATGCCACACTTTATTCATCCATTCTGTAGCTGATGAACATTCCAGCACAGATGGCCCCCGACTTACAGTGGTTTACAGTGGTTCGACTTACGGTTTTAGACTTCACCATAGTGTGGAAGTGATACGCATTCAGTAGAAACTGTTCCTCAATTTTTGAATTTTGATCTCTCCCCGAGCTAGCGGTTTACAGTTCTGATCCTCCTTTGGGATGCCAGGCAGTAGCAGCTACAGCTCCTAGCCAGCCACAGCTCCTAGCCAGCCACGTAACCAAACAACCAATACACTTCAAACCATTCTGTGCCCAGACAACCATTCTGTTTCTCACTTTCAGTACAGTAATCAACAAATTACTTGACATATTCAATACTTTATTATAAAATAGGCTTTGTGTTAGATGATTTTGCCCAACTGTAGGCTAACTTAAATGTTCTGAGCACATTTAAGGTAGGCTAGGCTAAACTATGATGTAGGTTAGATGTATTAAATGCATTTTCTAAGTGTGATACTTTCAACTCATAATAGGTTTATTAGGGCTATAACCCCATCATAAGTCAAGGAAGATCTATCTGTATGTGCCTTTGGACGCAATGCTATCTTTTCATTTGAAAATTTTCCTACTTAAAAAATTTTTCTTTTACTTCTTCAGAAAAGAATTATGTTATAAACTTAAATTTTATATTAAAATGTGTTATATTAAATATGTCGACAAATATATTCTAATTCCCAGTCTCTTCAGCCAAGGACTGACATGTACTTTGAGATACCTGCTTTTAACCTCGGTAAAAAGTGATTTTTCAGTAATTCCAGGCTTATTCCCCTTATCAACCTATTAAAAGGATGCTTTATTGCAGAAGCAATGGAGGAGCGGAGAGAAAGAATGAGGGCAGTAAAAATGATATTTCTGAAATGTTCTACAAATACTAATCAGATTCACCATGTAATAAATGCCACCGGGGGAATGCATCCTGAAGTCTGTCTGCAATGTTTACCTTCTTAAATGCCCTCCAGTCTCAGCTGTGTATCCCTCTCAGTGGAGACCTGACTGCCACACAGAAGTGTGCAATTACTGGAGTTTTCACTGGAAGCCATGTATGGGCAGTCAGGTAAGAAACCCTCCTCACTCTTTGGGTAGCATCCACCCCATTTTCTAGGCCCCCATATCTTCTCTCACATCTTCCACTAATCCAAACAGGAGACAATGACATCCTTTCTTATCGCTAGCATATATTCTTCCCTATCGACAAATTAACATTTCCAGGGATTAGAATCTTCAGGGTTACTGCTAACTTTGGAATGAAAAGTTTCACCTCCCATTGTGGACTTTGGGCTCTTATTACAGTGGAGAAGGTAATTTTTATTGTCCCTAAAAATCACACTTTGCCCTTTAGTTTGGCTTTTATCATTGTAGGCTACCTGGAGTCCAGGGGTAATCAGAATGACAGCTGAGCATCTGAGCCAGACTATTCCTTTCTTGTCCTTAACAATTCACCTCCCATCCCTCTGGCTCCAAGACTCCCAGATGCTCGGTATGACTCTGCTCTTACTGTCTCCCTAATAATGCCCTATGCGGATGCCCTGACCTGGGCTTTCGTGTTCTCTGTCCTCTCCCTATCACTGTCACTGTGCGCCATGCTAGTTATAAGCTGTTGTTCCCTTTTGGTCCAGAGCTCCTGCTGCTTGAAACTCTAGCACTCAGGCATAACAGGTTGAGGCAAGTGAAACTCCAACAAGAGCATATCTTTTACAATGTGTGACAGGAGTATGAGTGTCCATTAGGTGAAAGATGATAATTACACAGAGAGGGGAGAAGTCCACATTATTTAAGTTCCTCATAACCAGCAATAAGGTGAGAAGAGATAAAGTAACCTCAGGCAGGGAAATTCTGCATCAGGTGTGAGGCTGGACTTGATGAGCCTTAAGATGGATTCCTTCACGAATTCTTCCCCCACAGTACTGATTAAGGGGGCCTAGTGTCCACTCTAGGAGGTGCTTTGGAACTAAATGAGCATGTGGCACACAGGTAAGAGAACTGGAGGATAAACATCCAAATGAGAGCCCTCACTATGTGCAGACATACTCAGGAAGCAAGGCACATGAGGCCAGCGGTTCAGTGCTGAGGTCAGTGGGGGCCCTGCCCACCTGACCTGCTCTCAAGGCCATCTGGACAACAAGCTGCCCCTGTTCCTGGCTCCAACCTCAATGTCATCTCCCACCTGCCCATTTTATAAGTGGGGAATGTGTACACCTCAGAGAGGCAACCCACCCAAGGTTCCAGAGACAGATGCTCTGCTGTCACTTAAGAGAAAATGTGAAAACTTCCCAGAAGTCCTCATAAAGTGAGGTTTTTACACATAAGGTTTTTCTTCCTTTTTAAAGGCATGTTGCCAAAAAGAAAATTTCAAGGTCACCATAAGTACAATGAGTAAAAGCAATAAATAAGTAATTTAATGGTATAGAATATATAGTTTTTTCATTAAACTATCAGTTCTCTGGTTACTCTGAGTAAGAAGTTCAGGAAATCAAAAGTGTTGTTTGGTTTTTTGGGGGGAGGAGGTAATCTGGTTGACTGATTTTTTTTAATGGAGGTACAGGGGACTGAACCCAGGACCTCATGCATGGTAACCTTCCCTCCAGGGAATCAAAAGTGTTGGATTGAACAAATGATAACAAAAAAATCCTTGAACAGGATAGAAAAGAAACATCCAAAAACAAACAATTAAAGAACTAAGTAAAAGCGACTGTTGTGCTGGCTTCAGCAGCACACATACTAAAACCTGGAATAATACAGAGAAGATCAGCATGGCCCCTGTGCAAGGATGACATGCAAATCTGTGAAGCGTTCCATATTAAAAAAAAAATGACTGTTGTTTTAAAAATAACATAAAATTTTATTTGTAAAATCTGTATTATGTAAGTCAACAAAAGTGCTCTATTCACCAGAATTTTAAGCAGAAGCTTATGATGTATACTTTGTAAAATCTACCTATAACTTTGGTAAAGCAGTTACAAGGTGATTTTCAATAATTTCATTATATAAATCAATTTATCTCTGCAAAGATAAATATTTTAGATTAATGACTATAGAGACTTTCAACTCCCAAGTCTCTGCAAACCCACTAAATCTTCTCTGATCCCTGTGATAGATGAAATCAGCATTTTTCTTGCAAGAAAATCAAACTGATACTTTGATTTTTCAGTTAAAGTAAATAACATAATACTCAGGCTGTTTACTAATGAGTTCCATGTGAACTCATTAACTTTCGTGTAATTTACCTTGTAATTCAATTAATTATTAAATTATCTATTTCTTGCCTTAAAAAAACATAAATCAACATATAAGTGGGTAAAAAGAATTCATCTAGGTTATCTTACCTATATTTACATCTCCAGGCAGTGTCGTATATGTGAGGGACCACTTTCTAAATTCATCCAAATACCCTAACGGATTATTTATTTTATTGCTGGCACTGCTATCTGAATTGCCAAACAAGGCCACATATAAAGGCACCATTAATAAGCGGCAACTTAGTTATCTGTGATACCATATATCATCAACAATTCATTCCACTCACCAAGTAGTGCCAGCTATTAAGTTAAAAGCTAGAGATATAATGGTGCACAAAATACTTTGTCAAATAAGGGGAGCGGTACCAATCAAACAGTCACATTACAGAACATAATTACAAAGTGAGATAAATGTTATAAAGGAAAAGAACACCGTGTGAAGTTAAAATCTCATCTAGACTGGCAATGAGCATCAGGAAGGACTTCCCTGAGGAAGTGGTGCTTTAGCTGGTGCTGGCAGGAAGTAGGGGGTGGGAGCCGGGGGCATGTGAGGATATCAGGCTGAGGGAACGGCATGTTAAAGATCCTGGGGTAAAGGTAAGCCACATCGTCAAGGAAGCCGAAGGCAGGCCAGTGTGTGTAGTGCACAGGGAGCTAGGGGTACAGGGAAAAGTCTTAGAAAGGTTTTAAAACAGGGAGCAGGAAAAGGACCTCTACCATTATATCCTGGTAGGACTTAAACAATATAATGCCTGTAAGAAATTTTTGAAAATTGTGAAGTATCCCATGTTTTTGTGAATACTATTAGTTCCACTACTTCGTCTTCTAAACTTTTGGTCGGGATGCCAAATGACTGTCCGAAAGGAGAAGAGCCAAAAGCAGTACGGGGTTCTAATCCAGTGTTTTATCCCTGCGGCGCACTGCCTACAATTTTCACTCTATCACTTAATTAGTTCATTGTCTTTTCCAGACAACTAGTGCTTCATGACAACGGTAACTCCAATCGTGAGCATTTACTATATGCCAGGCACTTTCCCAAGCTTTTTATTTTACATGAATGCATTTAATCCTCAATTCTAGAAGAAAGATTCTATTACTGTCCTGATGAGGACACTGAGGCTCAAAAAAGCTAAACAACTTGCCCAAAGTCACACCACTAGTAAACGTTGGCACTGTTAACCACAACACTACTTAGCTTCTGCCTACAACATTTTACAGGTGTGTACGTATTACGTATGTTTGGGGGAGAGGGAGAGAACACAACTCAGGTGTATAGAACTACATTCACATACCTGACACCAATCAATGTCTTAGTTATCCAGTCCTGGGTAACAGTGGGGCTCAGCAAATATTTGAGGAATTGACGATGAATATAAGAGGATGACAAAGGATTCGAATCTGGAAGTAAATTCATTTCCTGAGGCTCCCCCCCACCCCGCCCCGCCATGCCATGAATTCACCTGATGGCTATTATTTTCCTTGACTCGTACTGACTATTAAGTTGGAGAGTTACTCTCCTCTGCCTTTGCCGTAGTTCAGACTTCAGCCCGGGGGTAGAGGAGGTAACGGCAAGGACAGTGAGAGAGTTCTCCAGCCTCGCTCACACCAGACGCTTTTCCTCCCGGGGCTCTGCACTAGTCCGGCTCTCTCGGGAACGCTGTCCCTTCTTTCGGTTCCTCCATTCAAACATCACCTCCTCACAGGGCCTTCCCCGACCATCCAGGTCTCCCCAGACCCTCCTTAACACGCCAGCCGGTCTCATTTCACTTCCTCCGCGGGGCTAGCACTCTCGGAAACCACCTCTAACTGTCCATTCACCGCACCCCCAAACCCAGGAGGGCCGGGGCCTGGTCGGGCCGGCTCTCTGGATGACTCCGCTCATACGCGCAGAGACCACAGCCGGGTTCACCTGTGCTCCCTCAGGCCCTCAGTACCCCTGGGCTCTCCACTCCCGGCGGCTCCACACTCCGTTTTCAACAGCAACACCGTTTTTACGTGACTTTGAGGTTCACAAAGTGGCCTGGACTCCATTTGCTCAGCTGAGCCCCTCAAACGATCCTGAAAAAGGAGGCCTGGCCTGGCGAGAACCATCCTCCCGCTTTACAGCCGCTGAAATTGAGCCTCAGAAAGGGGATTGGCCTGCGGCCGCGCAGAAAATTCAGGCAGGAGCCCTAAGGTGTCCGGATTCCGAAGAGCCCCTCCCAGGAGCCGGCGCCCGTGTTCGGGACGCTCCACCACCTTGACCACTATTGTTCCACCGCACTCCTGGACGCGCTCCAGGCCGAGGCGGCCG